TTTTTTTTTTTTTAAATCACCGATCTTATCCTTTAGTCTTCATGTGTCAACTGTAAACCCAGCTTAATGCTTTCTTAAGGTGCAGTCACACTTGCCTTCCATCCAGCACTGTAGATTTCCAGACATTACATTCAAAACCACAAATGTCAACTTGGTCCCAGAGGAAGAGTCAGAGGATCACCAGTATTCACTTGGTGAGTGGAGAGTGCTTTCTCTTTTATTTTTTTTTTTTTAAATTAATTGTATGGATGCTTGTTAGCATCCATACTATGTTATCCTATTTCTTTATTAGTGTGGATGTGAGCATCTACACTCTTATCTTCTTCTTTATTATTATTATTATTATGCAGCATCCACACTCTTATCTTCCTCTTTATTGTGTGGATGCGTATGCATCCACACTATGTTATCCAGTTCTTTATACCAACATTGAGCTCCCCTCTAGTTAAACTCATAATAAAGATGAACAATTCCAGATTCATGTCTGTGTATTCTGATTTTTTTCATCCTACACTCTGCAGTCTTGCACTATGTCACTCAGGTAAATTTTGCAAGTGTAAGCATTGGTCAAAGATAGAACAGCATGAAAAGTAAATGTATGTATTGTATTAGCATTGGTTGGATTTGTGTAAATTATGTGTGTGTGTTGATATCATTTGTTTCTACACGTTTGAAAGAATAAATCAAATCAAATCAATTGCTGCTCCGTCATTCCGATGTTTTGCCTCGCCCATCTGGTGCCACCGATCTTATCCTTTAGTCTTCATGTGTCAACTGTAAACCCAGCTTAATGCTTTCTTAAGGTGCAGTCACACTTGCCTTCCATCCAGCACTGTAGATTTCCAGACATTACATTCAAAACCACAAATGTCAACTTGGTCCCAGAGGAAGAGTCAGAGGATCACCAGTATTCACTTGGTGAGTGGAGAGTGCTTTCTCTTTTATTTATTTTTTTTAAAATTAATTGTATGGATGCTTGTTAGCATCCATACTATGTTATCCTATTTCTTTATTAGTGTGGATGTGAGCATCTACACTCTTATCTTCTTCTTTATTATTATTATTATTATGCAGCATCCACACTCTTATCTTCCTCTTTATTGTGTGGATGCGTATGCATCCACACTATGTTATCCAGTTCTTTATACCAACATTGAGCTCCCCTCTAGTTAAACTCATAATAAAGATGAACAATTCCAGATTCATGTCTGTGTATTCTGATTTTTTTCATCCTACACTCTGCAGTCTTGCACTATGTCACTCAGGTAAATTTTGCAAGTGTAAGCATTGGTCAAAGATAGAACAGCATGAAAAGTAAATGTATTGCTGCTCCGTCATTCCGATGTTTGCTTCGCCCATCTGGTGCATGTTGGAAGTCAATTTGGAATCCTGGTCTCCATTTCTTGGTCCGTGGCATCAGATCTCAGATGATTCAGTCACACAGCAGCTGTAACACACACATATGCAATTTTACAAAAAAGGATGTAGGCAAAAAATCCAAATTGGACATCAAGACCTGTAGTGTAAAGCCAGCTTTGAATACACATTTACGTACTGAATTATCTGTTACTGTGCTCAAGTCTTTAAAGCTGCATTATAATCAATCCCACTAAGAACAATTGACAAATGTGCATAAAGCTGACACCATGTGTCTCAGCATATCAATTCACGACCATGTCACTTCTTTCAACATGTCTGTCACACAGCATGGCACCTGTCACATCAGACTTCCGGTCCATGTTGGCATAAAACTGTCAATAATGTCGATGGTGAAGTCATTTATAAGGCCCGATGAATAAAAGCAGAACACTCTGTCTTTAATAAGAGTACTGGTCACAAAACAGAGGTGGGTAGAGTAGCCAAAAATTGTACTCAAGTAAGAGTACAATTCAAAATAATACTACTCAAGTAGAAGTAAAAAAAAGTACTCATCCAAAATATCTAAAACATTGCATCAAATTTAAGACTGCAAAAAGACATTGGAACACTATCTTCTCTTGAAACAGCAGCAACATCAGTGAACAGTTTGGTATAGCCTTTCAACATTTATAAATGCAGCACAATTGGGGCATGCCCCAACATAACTCCTCTCTCTGTCGCCCTCTTTCCCCCTCCCCCTCGCCCACACACACACACATTCACACCTACTTGTTTTACCTAATTTGTTGGGTCATATTGGACTATTTTCTCATCTTTAAGTTTAGCATACGTTCAGCTAGCAAAGCCATTCAGGTATCAAAATGTTCAGCTCTTCAAGGACAGTCATTTCTAAACTTCATACTTTTGAAATATTTAGCTTTATTTTGACAATCTTGCCCCATTTAAATGAATGGGGAAATTCTACACTCAGCATACTTTCAGGTATCAAAATGTTCAGCTCCTCAAGGACATTCATGCTTCTATTCAGAAGTTTTCTAAACTTCATACTTTTGAAATATTTAGCTTTAATTTGAAAATCTTGCTCCATACAAACGAATAGGGGAAATTCTACTTCAGCATACTTTCAGCTATCATAATGTTGAGCTTCTCCAAGACATCCATGCTTCTATTCAGAAGTTTTCTAAACTTCATCCTTTTACAATATTTAGCTTTATTTTGAAAATTTTCCCCCATTCAAATTAATGGGAAAATTGTACTTCAACATACTTTCAGGTAAATATGCCTTTCACGTGTCAAAATGTTCAGCATTTTCAGGGCAATCCTTCAGTACACAGCATCCACATGCATTTTTGACAGGAAATGCATTTCTCTAGTTTGATGTGGGTTCCCGGTTTCTCATATGATCCCCTGAGTTTTTGGTTTGCTTTGGTCAGATTGGTTGATTGGACTGGGTCAAGGTCAGGGCCAGTTTATTTATAGAGCACTTTATGTACAGAAGGGAATTCAAAGTGCTTTATACAGTAAAAGAGAATCAAACAAAACATCACATAATACAATACATCACAAAGGTACATGCAGAGTTTGATGTTCTGTTTTTAGCACAGTCTTCCTGTCCTTATTGTAACTTGGGATGGGGTTGCCACTCTGTCTTTATCTCAGTGAGATCTTCTTCTGAGTAGCCTTTTATGCTGCAATCTTCAGGTGAGCCAAAGGCCTTAAAACACTGTTGCACAGATCAAAGTAATACTCATACTGTTTCATACACAGACCCTAATGTTTGACAAAGGACAAAGACCATATGTTGAACATTTGTTTGATGTGGTGCAGGCAGATCCTTTGTCATCACTATTAACATAAGACTGGAGTCTGTGGTTTCTATTTCCACACATATCACTGCTAATTAACATGATTACAGTGTGGATAAGTCTGTGCTAAATACTATAGATGAGAACTTTCATTTAAAAAACAGCAGTCGCAAAATTGTATGGGTTAAGTGATGTGACTTTCAAATGTGTTTATATAGCCTAATGGGGTTGCGTCAGGAAGGGCATCCAGCAGAAAACACATGCCAAATGTCAACATGCTTGTTGTCAGTGTGACAATTTGTGGTGGCGACCCCTAAAAAAATGGGAAGAAACCAAAAGTGACTTTCTTATTTTCAGAATAAACTTTAGTAATTAATTTTGATGCTATTGATGTTTGAGATATCACTGTTGATGTTCTATAGGCATAGGAGTGATTAATTAATGACAGTAAGGGCGTATCTATAAGGGAGGAGAAATATTGTAACTGATTTTAGCTTCTGTACTGGTGGAAAAAATGTATTCATGATACATCAATAGAATTAACATCAGGGAATGTATATAATGTGAATAAAGGTGATTACAAACATCTTGTTATCCATAACTAACACATTATGCTGTTTCATTTATTTGACACTTACTTTGGAGATTGCATACAAAACATATGAGCAGGTTTTAATGTTGTCCAGCTACCACTTTTAGATTATGGTGCTTAAACAATGATCACTATTGGCCCAATAACAAACTATTTTATTCCCATAAATATCAAGTATCTCTCATATACTGTCATGTCAGTCCATATTACACACTATGATTTAGACCTGCTCCATTCTTATCAAAGGTAGGGTTGGGGATTCCTTTCAGAAGCACTTTTTGTTACATTTCTTGAATTTCTCTTTTCATCCTGATGTCAGTGAATACATTAAGTGCACTGACAACATAAAGAAATATCTGTCATCTGTGTCAGCAGCAGGGCTAAAAAACACCTGACCAATAATTTTACTCAGCCCAAGCAAAGCTAGCAAGCTATGGCAGAGGAGGTACCCACAGCAGCTTATATTTGAGAAACTTGCAACATAAAAAAAGTTGGATGTTGCAAGAAGTAAAGCTAGAATTAACATCGGTGTGGCTTCTGAATGACAGTGAAAACTGAGAGAACAAATGGGTTGGATTTCTTCAGTTGGCTACTTTCAAAATCAAGCTTCTTTGTGCTAGTTTTTCCAGAAACGCCAACTATACCTTTAATCAGAACCAGAATCAGCTTTATTGGCTAGGTGTGTCAGACACACGAAGGATTTGACTCTGGTACAGTGGCTCTCAATGTGTCAACAAGCAAGGGAATGTGCATTAGGAAAAAGATAAAAAATAATA